ATCGATTCCACCTGCTAACGATTAACCGCAACAACAAAGCCATCGATTCCACCTGCTAACGATTAACCGCAACAACAAAACCATCGATTCCACCTGCTAACGATTAACCGCAACAACAAAGCCTACGATTCCACCTGCTAACGATTGACCGCAACAACAAAACCATCGATTCCACCTGCTAACGATTAACCGCAACAACAAAGCCTACGATTCCACCTGCTAACGATTGACCGCAACAACAAAACCATTGATTCCACCTGCTAACGATTAACCGCAACAACAAAACCATCGATTCCCGCAATACCGTGAAAGGCCAAGCGCCCGCATATGCGACTCCATCGTTCCCTCCGCCCCCTCGCCAATACCCACATGCGGTTCTTCGCGCAGACACAGCGTTCCATGGCCACAGCCCTCTCCACCCCCCCCCCTCCCCACCACCACCACACCCACCACACCCACCACCACCATGTTCTCCACCCTCCTCTACACCAAGGACGAGGTCCACGTCCATCCGGACGCCGACGCCTCGTCGCACATTGCCGGCCGTCTCTGCATCGTCCACTCGGACGAGCCGGACTCTCCGCCGCTCTCGCTCACTTGGTCGCCGTACTCACTCCTGGCCAAGGCTGCGGGTGCTGCTACCGCACGTGCTGTGCTGGAGGCTGACCCGGAGGCCTTTGTGCTGACGGATGCCCATGCGGGCCCTGCAGAAGGGGCTGAGCTGGCCGACGGAGAGGAGAAGATCGCTGATCCTGAATTGCTGGAGCTCTCGCCGATTTCCTCACTCGCTCCCCGGGATCATGCCCTTTGTGTCCCGCTGGTCGAGCTCAAGGCTGTCTCCCGCTTCCAACCCGAGCATGGCATCCCGTCGCTGGTCATCGAAATCGACCACGGCATCACCTTTCCGCCGCTCTTCTTCCACAATGGCGGCGTCCGCGAGCTGTTTGCCCTCCTCGACGGCCTCGTCGCCCTCTCACCCCACCCGGACATTCCGGGCAAGTCGCTCGTCAACGACGCCTCCTCGCTTCTTGCCCAGTCTCTCGACGCTCTCGATCTCGAGCTGCTCTCGCCTGCAGGCGCCGCCGCGCCTGTGGCCCAGCTCCCGCCGGCGGCTTCACCTCAGTTGACAGAGCAGTCGACAGGCTCGCGCGCAGGCGCTGCAGCTGCCTCGTTCTTCGGCACACTCACTTCGATCGCGTCGATTGCCAAGACCGCGGCTTCGTCGATGCTGCGCCCGGTCTCGGCCGCCGGCCCACCGCCGCTCTCCAACGCCCAACGCCAGCTCCTCGGCGAGTCTGGCCGCATCCGCGCCGAGCCGCTCACCCACGACGAGTTTACCGCTCACTACGCCGCTCGCGAGCACGACGACGGTCGACTCGTTGACAGCCCCGCCCGCGAGGCTGCACTCCGCCGCCGCATCTTTGACGGCGGCCTCGACTCGGACCTTCGCCCGCTCCTCTGGCGGTTCTTGGTCGGCCTCGTCGACATGACCGCACCGGCCGCCGCCGTCGCCGAGCGCGAGGCCCTCCTCCGGTCCAACTACGCCACGCTCCGCAAGCAGTGGGCTACCATGTCGCCGGCTCAGGTCGCTCGCTTCTCCAAGCTCCGCGAGCGGCAGCACCGCATCGCCAAGGACGTCGTCCGCACCGACCGCGGGCACCCGTACTTTGCTGGCGAGGCCAACCCGCACCTCGACGACATGACCTCCATCCTCACCTCGTACCTCTTCTACAACTGGGATCTCGGCTACGTCCAGGGCATGTCTGACCTCCTCGCGCCCATCATGGTTGTCCACCCCGACGATGAGGCCCTGGCCTTTTGGGTTTTTGAGCGGGTCATGGCCCAGTGGCAGAACAACTTTGGCAAGGACCAGCTCGGCATGCGCGGCCAGCTTGAGGCTGTCGCCCGCGCTCTAGCCGTCGCCGATCCCGAGCTCCACGCCTTCTTTGTCTCCACAGACGCACTCAACCTCTTCTTTTGCTTCCGCTGGATGCTTGTTCGCTTTAAGCGCGAGCTCGCCTTTGACGACGTCTGCGCCCTCTGGGACGTCCTCTGGTCCCGCTCCGTTGGCTCCGACACTGCCTCGCGCTCCTGGCACATTGTCGCTGCTGTCGCCCTCCTCGTCCAGCACCGCACCGCGCTCCTTGGCGCCCCGTTTGACGACATCCTCAAGTACATCAACGACCTCTCTGGCACCATCGACGTCAACGACCTCCTTGTTCGCGCTGCCGTCCTCTTTGACATCGTCACTGAAAACATCGGTGAGGACGCCGCTCTCGCTCTCTTCTCACCCGCGTCGGTGCCGCCCTCGCCTCCCCGCGACGCACAAACTAGCGACACCCACGACTCAGCTGCCTCGTCTTTGTAAACGCATGCACCGCTACGGCTCGTCGTCCGACACCACCATCTCCTTCACCCCATCGTGGCCGTCCCCAAACTCGCCGTCACCAGCCTGGGACCCGTCGTCGCCGTCGCCGTCGTCGCTGCCGCCGTCGTCGCTGTCGACGTCGTCGTCGCCGGTCTCGGCCTCGGCCTCGGTCTCGCCTTGGACCGCCCGCATCACGTAGCTGGCATCCAGCACGCCAACGATGTGGGCAAAGGCAAAGAGATGCTCCTCGCGGGTCTTGGCATCTAGGTCCGGCTTCTTCGGCTTGGACTTCTTGGGCGTCACCGGCGACATGAGCATGTCAGTCGAGTCATCATCCGACTCAGCCACGTACGTCCCGGTCACCATGTCCATGCCGTACCTCCTGAAGCCGAGCTCCTCGTCGTCATCCGAGCCAAATGCGGTCGCACCGTGGAACCGCGTCGCCGCGTGTCGCGTGTAGTGCGTCGCCCGCCACACATCGCCGTCCACAGGCTTGTCCCACGTCCCAATGTCCTCGTCCGACTCAGGGTCCTTGCCCTTGAGCCGCCGCCGCTCCTCCGCCGCTGCCGCTACCGCTGCCGCTGCCTCGGCCGCAACACGCGCCGCTGCCGCTGCCTCTGGGTCGGTATCTTCGTCAACCTCGGGGAGGGCCGGCTCCGGTGGCGTCTCAGGCTCCGGCGGCAGGCCACGCGCTAGCCGCATGCCCGCGGCCTCGGCCTTCTCCACCGCCGCTGCCTCGATGCCGGCCGCCACCATTTGGCCCCGCATCCAGTTGACTAGCCCAGCAACAGCCCGCTTCTGGCTTGCGACATAGTTGGCGACGTCGTCAAAGATCGCCACTAGCTCAGCGAGCCAGATCAGCGCCCGGAGCGCAACCCGCGGCGTCCGCGGCCGCTTGAGCTGCACAACTCGGAGGAGGCCAAACTGCGCGGCGTGTGCCACCGGCGAGAGCGCCCACGGAAGCCGCGCCTCACGCAGCCCGTCGTCCAGCCGCAGAATTCGCCCCAGCAGGTCGAGGTTGCCGCTGAGATGCGACTCTGGCCGCATGTACAGCTGCCGCCCGATGATCGAAATAAACTGCTTCGACAGCGCCCGGTGGCCGTACGACAGGTGCTCACATACGGCCGCCACAGCCTCATGGTTGTAGTTCATCTGGATCATTTGCGTGAGCCAGTGCTGGCCAATCACCACCGTCACCGTCCGCTTCGGCAGAACTACCACCGTCTCGTCGTCCTCGGCCATTAGCGTGGTCGGCGGCACGCCCTCGCCGGCCGTCGCACACCCGCGGAGCACCGTCGCGTATGTCGCCATAAAGTGCGTCAGGTCCGGAAGCTGGTTGTCGTCCATGATCTGCACGCGCGGAATGTTGCCCTTGAGCGGCTGGGCCAGAAAGTAAGAGATGAAGAGCTGGAAGAACTCGGCGTCAACAAGGTACATTCGCGTCTTCCACGAAATCTCTGCAAAGCCGCGGAAGAGCCGCCAATACTGCCGAAAGTTGCGCCAGTACGTCCGCGAGACCTCAAACTCGTCCCACACAGCGTCGATGAACCGCATCACAGACGCCGCAGGCACCACACGCGCCTCCTCGCCCTCGCCCGCAGCCTCCTCCAGCCGCTCGTCAAAGAGTGGCGTCTCGTACTGCGCCACAAGCTTCATCACGTTGACAATGAGCGCAACCACGTTGATCCGCACGCTCTCCTTGGGGCACACCAGCGTCAGCGGCCGGATAAACGCCCGCGCGTAGTCAAGGAACCACACCCCAGCAGGCACATGCCGCGCATACAGAGAGTTGAGCAGCTCGAACCATGCAGAGAGCGCAGAGTCCTCGCGCGCCCGCACAAGCACTTCAAACACCACCCGCGTCCCCATCTGGATCATCCGCAGCCCAGAGTCAGCCTCCACGTCGGGCACCCCGTACGCCAGCACATCGTCAAACTCAAACTGCTGGCAGAGCCGCAGCACGTAGTCAAAGTACGTCGACGAGAAGAAGAACCGCTCGCGCGCAAACTGTACGTTCTCCCGCCACACGTGCTCCAGCACGTCCGCAGGCAGCCCGTCGCAGTCGCCGGCGCCGGCGCCAGCAGACTCGATTGACACCTCGCTCCTCGCCGACAACTCGCGCCTCGCGCCTTCGCCGTCCACAACCGCAACCTCGCCGCTTGCCGTTGCCTGTGGCTCCGGTTCGGGCGCAAGCGGGTCGACCCACCCGGCTGGGGCAGGACTCTTGCGCTTGTAGATGAGCATGTACGCCGACTTGGTCCGCGGGATGCCGCGCTCGATGTTCCGCCGCAGAGCCGAGCTCCAGGTCTTGACAATCTCGTCGCCGCCAAAGCACGCGGCCTCAAGCGAGGTCTCGATGTTGAACGGCGTCACGGCCTTGTCGTTGAACTCGAGCCACCGCCCGTCGCCCTCGCAACCCTCGTCGCCTTGCGCCCGGATGTACGAGTAGTAGTGCCCGCCCTGCGCCATGCCCGAGTGGACAAGGACGCCGGTCAGCTCGTACTCGTAGTACCACTCGGGCCGTGGCTCGAGCTCAAAGAGCGGCACCCCGCCGGCCTCCTTCTCGCGGCGGGCAAGGCCCTCGCGGGTCCACGGCTCAACGTTGAGCTCGAGTGGGAACGAGCACCGGTCGTTCACCTTGGTCCGCTCCATCGTCTCATAGTTAAACTCAAAGCGCTTGAGGTGGACAATGAACACGTCCGAGAGCGAGTGCAGGCACGCGCCCTTTGCCGCCGTGATCTTGCGTGAGTGCGGCTCGCAGTAGTACGCGTTCTCGCCCTCCATTACGTCCGGCTCAACGTAAAAGTCCAGCGCCTCCTCAATAGACGCCTTGCCCTTGATGTCCAGCGAGATGTTGTAGAACTCCTCTAGCCGCTCGCCGTAGTACGGGTACTCGTCCTCGCGCGATCGGATCTGGTTCGAGAGCTTGCCGCCAAACAGCTCGAGCATCTGCTCTGCCCCGCTCCCCTCGACCTTCAGCTCGTCCTCCAGCCGCTGGCAGAGTAGGTTGAAGAACTCGTTGACATCCTGCTGGACCTTGGGGTTGATCGGCCGGCCCTCCCAGTCCTTAAACGCCCCAAGGAAGCCCTCGGGCCCGTACGCCTTCTTGTTCGACTCGAGCAAGTTGACAAAGATAATCTGCAGTTGCTTGAGCAGCGAGTCCTCGTTGCTCCCGCCAGCGCTTCCGCCTGCCCCGGGTCGCAGTGCAAGCACTCCGCGCCGGAACGGGGCCATCATGAACAGCTGCTGGAGCATGGCGTTGACATAGCATGTACACCCAAAGTTGACCAGGCCGCAGTACCCACTCGCCGCACGCGCGTTGGCGCCCGGGTAGTACCGCCAGCCGGAGACCTGTGCAAACGAGTCATCCTCGTGGTGCGGTGCAAGCTTCTCCAGCAGGCTCGCCGCAGAGCTCGACGAGAGCGACGCGAGCTGAAGCTGGAGCGAGTATGCCGCCTGCCGCGTCCGTGGCGACTTGCACATCGGTGGTGGTGGCGCATCCGATGACCGCCGGTCGTCCGCAGCAAGCGTCGCAAACAGCGCGTCCTCGTGGAGAACGTCGACCAGCCCAGCCGCAAGGCTCCCGGCTGCCTCTAGCCGCGTCGCAATGACGCCAGCAGCAGTCTCGCTCAGCGTCACCTTGTCAAGCACGCTCGCGTCACCGCTCACCACCACCCGTGCCACGTCGAGATAGCCTGCGAGCACCTCGTCCGTCACGCCGTCGTCGTACTCGCGAGTCCCGCGGGTCAGCAGGCACTCGATTGCTGAGCAGGCGACCGTCGTCAGCTCCTCGTTTGCAATCCCGCGCGTGGAGATTGTGCTCGAGATGAGCTCCACAAGCAGCGAAAAGTACTCGCGGTACTGGTCCATCGGCGCCGGCGCGCTGCTCCCCGCAAACGGCGGAAGCAGACCAAGAAGCCGCTGGAGGAACAGCTCGTGTGGCCCGTTCTTGCTGCTGCTTGCACCGACCTGTGAGACAAGGTTGTAGAGGCCGATTGCAACCTCAGCCCGAACTCCCGCGTCGCCGCACTGGATGAGCGCTGTGTCGAGAAACTCCGAAGTCATGGCCGAGGTGAGTACCGAGAGGTGCGCCGGCTGCGAGACAATGCAGAGGACAATCAGTCGCATCGAGTACGCGGTGACCTCGGCGGCAGTCTCGGACGCGCCTTGCTCGCTCGCTGCCGCCGCCACCAGGCTCACCAGCGCAGGCACCAGATCGGCGACGCTGACGGTCTCAAGAAGAACGCGCTTGGCGGCCTCGCTTGCAGTGTACTCGGCAATCATGGCGGCAAAGGCTGCACCGGCAGACGACGTTGTGGTGGAGCCTGCCGATCCGCCGCCGCCCGAACCGGGCGTCGAGCAGACCGGCGAGACAAGTCCGGTCGGCGTGCTAGGGGTCGGCACGCCTGCACCCGAGCCGGCCACCGGGCTCGCCGGCGCCGGCGCTGACGTCTCGTCCGAGAGCGCGCCGCGGAGGAAAAACTCGAGGACCTTGAGGATGAGCGCGAGCGATGCGTTGCGCTGCTCAGTGTTGTCTGGCGCAGCGGTGCCGGAGTCGTTACCAGCTGTTGTCAGCTCAGCGCCGGCAAAGATGCCGTACAGGTGCTGGACGCCGCCCGACTCGACAAAGACCCGGCACCACTCGGCGCGGGCGGTGACGTCGCGGCCTTCATCGACCGGGAACAAAATGGTGTCGATGATCTGCAGCGCATACAGCAACCGGTAGACCGAGGCCGGGTCGATGAGGCCGGCCCAGCCCGCGTCGCCAAGCTCGAGGTGAGTGAGCTTGCGGAGAATAACCTGGTTCGTGGGAATAACCATGAGCAGGTCCCAGATCTGCGGGCCAACACCGGCGCAGGCCGCTGACGAGACGAGCGAGAACAGGACGTCCATGTACTGCTGGTTCGACGAGAGCATCATCGGTGGGTAGACAACCAGTCGCTGGGAGCCGCTTCCGGAGCCATCGTCCGAGCCGTCGTCGCCGTCGGGGAACGCCATGCGGTGCGCAGCCGGGTTGGTGGCGTCGTCGCCGCCGCCGGGGGCATCAGCCTTGGTCTCGGCCATCTGGGTTGCAAAGGCTTCGAGCTCGGACTTTTGAACCGGGTCGAACAGAAGCATAGCAGCCTCGTTGACATCAAACGACTCCTTGCGCAGCGCGAGGAGCGCCACGTTGGCGCTGGTCTCGCACGTCACCATCAGCTGCTGGGCCATCTCCATGGCGTTGGCCGGGTCCGAGCTGGCATCGAGGAGCTCGGACGAGAGGCTCGGCTTGGTTGCGCCGAACGTATCGCCCATCCGGCTCCGGCGAGTTGTGGCGTCGTCGGCCAGCGTCTCGGGAATGCCCGAGGAGAGCCCGACCGAGGCCTTGTCGCGGAGTGAGGCGTCGGCAAGGGTGCACGAGTCATCGTCGAGCGTGCGACCAGCTGCCTTGAGAACAAGCGCGGCGGCAGGCTCGGTCCAGCCGTCGAGCGCAGCGGCGACAGCCGAGCGAAGCGCGCCAACGGTAGCCAGCGAGTGCAGGTGGACCTCAAAGACGCCCTCGGGGCTTGTCGACTCAATGCCGTTTTCGATGCGAAGGGTGAGTGGGCGTCCGCGCGCCGACGCGCCGTGGGCGCGAGTCCCGCCGGCCTCGGACGAAGTCTTGGCAAAGAGTGTCTTCAGGACAGTAAGGCAGGCGTGAATGCGGCGGACGGCCTCGGCTGTTGAGACTGGGTCGGCCTCGGCACACTCGGCGGTCTCGAGACCCTCTTCCAGCTTGCGGAAGATGCAGGCGAGAAAGGCGGCGCGGACGTCTGAGAGCGCAACTGGATCGGCCTTGACCTCGGCAGACACGTTCTCGTGAAGCTCGACAAGGAGCTCGGTGGCCGAGCAGATGACAGTCTGGTCGTGCGCCTCGAGCACAAGCTGCCACAGGTACTCGACAGCAAGCTTGGTCGGTTGGTAGATGACAAAGTCAAACGAGGCTGTAACCTGCGACGGTGGCGCGTGAGTCCGGCGAGTGCCAACACCTGCCGGTGTCGGCTCGGTCTTGGCCCACTCGAGCGCACCGACGCCGACAAGGGCGTGGATGAAGAACTTGCGGAAAGTGGCAAAGGAGGTCGGCGTGGCCCGTGTCGGTGGCTCGACCTCGAGCGTGCAGCTGAGCAAGGCGTGAGCGTCGTCGATGGTGAGGAGCGTGCACTCGCTCGGGCTCAGCGAACTGCCGAGCCACGTGTAGAAGAGCTCGGCCTCGGCCGGGACAGCGGCGTCGATGACCATGGAAGCGTGCAACGCCTGGACCTGCTCAAGGGAGAGGACTGAGCCTGGTGGCGAAGTGAGGGCGGTGAGGAACTCGAGGCGAGTCCTGAGCTCGGCCATGTATTCGGGCGACGAGGGCGAGACGGCTGCGGCGGTCGACTTGGGGCTCTCTGGCGCGGCGTCGGCATTGGCTCCGGTCTCCTCGGCATCAGCAGGCGGCTCGAGCGGCAGCGGTTCGTCGCCGCTTGCATCGCCGAGGCTGTCCCCTGAGGTGGGAGTGTCATTGTCGAGCGGTTTGGCCATGGCCTTGAAAAGCGGGAGCGAGGCAATGAGGATCTTGTCGAGGCTGTGGTCATCGCGAAGCGAGCGGAGGACCGCAAGCTGGGTCTCCTTGACGTGGGCAGCGTGGATGTCGGGGTAAGTCTCGATGATAGCGAGGAGGCACTTGATGCCGGGAGTGGCGAGAGGGGCGTCGACGAGGGCGGCGGCAATGCGGACAATGGCGGCGGCGCGCTCAGCGCGGAGCGCGTAGACCTTCCAGGCGTCGCCGATGCAGTCGAGCAGGTAGGCAAGGATGTCGGCAGAGAGCACGTCGGCGCGGTCGAGGACGGTGGAGAGCATCCAGGCGAGGAGTGGCTTCTGGTGGGCAGTCGAGCGCTTGATGAGGACGCGGACGAGCGAGAGCATGTCCTTGGTGAGAGCCTCGAGCGGCAACGAGGCGAGCGAGTTGAACATGAGACCAACCATCTCGATGGGGATCTGGTAGGCAACCTTGCGAAGGAGCTCGAGGACGGCGGCGGCGTAGATCTCGTGGGCGTTGATGACGCACTCCCAGAGCATGGCCATGGCGGCGTCGGTGAACGCCCTTTGCTTGATGAGAAAGAGGACGAGCGGTGAGGAGCGCCGGAGGAGCTCGGCGTGTTTGGACGCGCCGGTCAGAGTCTCAAAGATCGAGTGCTCCGCGAGCCACTCGAGGAGGGCCTCAGGGGTGAGCCACTTGGCAGCCTTGATGGAGGCCACGCGCCTGGTGGCCGCCGCCCACGCCCGCTTCTCGACCATGGACAGGAGTTCGTTGAGGAGGTCCATGCCGTGGATCCGCTGCTGGAGCGAGGACGACGAGAGTAGGCGGAGGGTGAGGTCGAGGTGGAGCGGCTCGACAACGCCGCCGGCTTCTTCGGCCTCCATGCTCACCTCGAGCGCGCTCTGGAGCTGGTCAAGCATGACAATGGCAGTGGCCGGCGCGAGCTCACGCAGCTCGGCGTCGTCGAGGCTGCGAAGGTAGTGCTCGAGAGCGGTGGCCATGGCAGACATCACCTCCTTGCACCGCGGCGACGTCATGTATCCCGAGGCGGTGATAGCTCGCAGCATGCCAGTGAGGATGTGGATGATGCTGAGCGGAGTGCGGGCGTCGCCGCTGCGCCCGATGTGGGCGACGACGGCGGCAAAGCCACCCGTCCGGCCAAAGTGCGAGACAAACTCGCGGAGGAGATTCGAAGACCAGTGGCGAACCCGCGGCATGGTGCCCCATTCTGTCTCGACCATGGCGTCGGCATCGACATCGGCATCGGCATCGGCATCGACATCGGCATCGGCATCGGCATCGGCATCAGCGTCAGCCTGGACGTCCGCATCGGCCTCGGCATTGGGAGTGCTGCGGTTGTTGGCACAGGGCGAGGACTTGTCGTCGGACGGCGGCGAGACAACAACGTACTCGTCGTCGTCCGAGGCCAGTTCCTGTCCCTTGATCTGGGCCTCGACCTCGGGCGAGGCCTCCTCATCGACGCGCGCCGAGGCAGCGTCGGTGGCAGAGGCGACGGTGCACTCGGCGTCGATCTTGGCACGGTGGGCGGCATACGTGGTGTGAGTGGCACGTGGGAAGAGATAAAACTGGCGAGTCGAGTCAAAGATGCGGCGGAGTGTGTCGGCGATGCCCTTGGAGTTGGTGGGCAAGGCGAGGCGGCAAAAGTCTAGCGCGGCGACGACAAAGTCTGCAGCGCGGTAGCAAATGTGGACTTGGAGGTAGCGGGCCTTGAGTACGGTGCGGACAGCAGCCGGTAGGGCCGTGTCAACAAAGTACTCGGCGTGCTCGGGCGGCGCCATTTCCCCTGCAATGTACGCTGTCATAGCTGCCTCCATCATCTCCAGGTATGGACCTGGATCTGCCGCTGTCGATCAAGCCCGGTGCACAGCCAGCAGGAGGAGCAGCAGGAGCAGGAAGAAGAGGATAAGGTGCGGGACAGGATGAGACGGAAGAAAAAGAATACACCCATGACCCATGTCCCAGTTGAGAAGCACCAGGATCAGAAGGGGGGGGGGGGGGGGGGGAGGAGCGTGACCAAAGGAAGAAGAACACGCCCACGCCCCATACCCCAGACCAGCAACACCAGGACCAGGACAGGACCAGCAGGAACAGCAGGACGAGAACCAGGAAAATCAGCACGAGGACCATAATAAGTAGGACAGGGGGCAAGAGGGGGAAGAGGAAGAGGATGGGGGGGGCAGTCACCGCATAGAAGCCGTCGACCCAGCGACAGCACCAGCGACAACCAAAGGAGACAGAGACAGCGAGACAACCAGCGCGACCGACCCAAGCAACAAACACAAGCCAAGCCATCCATAGAGTAAGTATACCAGGAAGAGGAGGAGGAGGAGAAGGAGAAGGGGAGGATGGACCAACAGTCACCCACTAGGTGTGTGTAGGGAGGGGGGGGGGGA